CCCCAAAACCCCAAAACCCCAAAACCCCTTTTTCGAAGTGAAAATTTGAGAAAAACCGCGAAATAAATAAAATTCATATAATTAAATTTTGAATGGAAAAGACTGGCGATACAGAAATGGCTCCTCCAGCCGATCCTAAATTAGTTATAAAGCGGGACGGCTCCAAGCAACCATTTAGCAAAGACAAGCTACAAAAAAGACTTGAGACTTTCTCTTATGAGCTTGATAAAGAATATGTTACTCATAAAGAAGTTCTTGAAAAGGTTGAAAATGGAATTTATGAAGGTAAGAACTAATCTCCCTCAAATATGCTCATATGTCTTTTATAGGTGTGACTACTAAGCAAATTGATGACCTTTTGGCAGAGACATGTGCTTATATGACCATTGTGCATCCAGATTTCTCTACTCTTGCAGCTAGGATTTCAGTCAGCGCCCTTCATAAAGAGACCCCTGATTCCTTCTATGAAGCTATTAAACAACTGAGAGACTATGTCGACAAAGCTGGAAGACCAGCTCCTTTGATCTCAGAAGATGTCTTTGAGATTATTGAGGAAAACAAAGAAAAGATTGAAGAGTATATTGATTACAAGAGAGATCATACTTATGATTTCTTTGGATTCAAAACTCTCGAGAGATCTTACTTACTAAAAGTTCATGACAAGATCATTGAGAGACCACAAACAATGTTGATGAGAGTGTCTATCGGAATCCATAAGAAGGATCTAGAGTCTGCTTTTGAGACTTACGATTTGATGAGTAATAAATGGTTCACTCATGCATCCCCCACTCTGTTTAATTCAGGAACTCCCAAACCACAAATGAGTTCGTGCTTTTTACTTGCGATGCAAGAGGATTCTATTGAAGGAATCTATGACACTCTCAAACAGTGTGCCATTATCTCTAAGAACGCAGGTGGTATTGGACTTGCTATCCATTGCATCAGAGCTACATCCTCCTACATCAGAGGCACTAATGGAATCTCTAATGGAGTAGTCCCAATGCTCAGGGTCTATAACAACACTGCTAGATATGTCGACCAAGGAGGTGGTAAGAGAAAAGGAGCTTTTGCCGTCTATCTCGAACCTTGGCACGCAGACATCTATGAGTTTTTGAGTTTAAAGAAGAACCATGGTAAAGAAGAAAACAGAGCAAGAGACTTGTTCTATGCTCTTTGGGTCTGTGATTTGTTCATGAAGAGAGTTGAGGAAGATGGTGACTGGACCCTCTTTTGTCCAAACCAATGTCCAGGATTGTTTGAATGCTGGGGTGAAGAATTCGAAACACTTTATACTAAATATGAGCAAGAAGGCAAAGGAAAGAAAACAATCAAGGCGCAGCATCTTTGGAATGCTATTATTGAATCCCAGATTGAGACAGGGGTTCCATACATGCTCTATAAGGACTCTGCCAACAAGAAATCTAATCAACAGAATCTTGGAACTATCAAAAGCTCGAATCTTTGCTGTGAGGTTATGGAATATACTGATAAAGATCAAGTAGCTGTCTGCAACCTGGCATCTATTTCTTTAGTAAGGTTCGTCAATGATGAAGGAGTCTTCGATTATGAAAAGCTTCACTCTGTTACAAGGACTATTACCAAGAATTTGAATAGAGTTATTGACAATAACTATTACCCAATCCCTGAAGCTGAATATTCGAACTTTAGAAACAGACCTATTGGAATTGGTGTTCAAGGATTAGCTGATGCTTATCAAAGAATGAAAATTCCATTTGAGAGTGAAGAAGCTACCGATGCTAACAAGAAGATCTTCGAGACTATCTACCATGCTGCCTTGACAATGTCCTGCGATTTAGCAAAGGAAGAAGGACACTATGAGACATTCCCAGGATCCCCAATCTCTCAAGGAAAGTTGCAGTTTGATCTCTGGGAAAAGGAACCATACACTGATAGATATGACTGGGATGCTCTGAGAGAAGAAATCAAAGAGCATGGTGTTAGAAACTCTCTATTGGTTGCTCCAATGCCAACTGCCAGTACTTCTCAAGTTCTAGGAAATAATGAGAGCTTTGAACCTTATACTTCCAATATTTACACGAGAAGAGTTCTTGCAGGAGAGTTTATCTGCGTAAATCAACATTTAGTAAAAGATTTGATCAAAGCTGGACTATGGACTTGGGAAGTAAAGAATGCTTTGATTGGAAGCAATGGATCCCTGCAAGGAATTAAAGGAGTTCCAGAAGATATTAAGAATCTCTATAAGACTGTTTGGGAAATCCCTCAGAAGACTCTTCTCAACTTAGCTATCGACAGAGCACCATTCATTTGTCAATCTCAATCATTAAATGTATACATGAGTGAGCCAACCTTTGCAAAGATGAGCTCAATGCACTTCTATGCTTGGAAGAACGGACTTAAGACTGGGCAGTATTACCTCAGAACCCAAGGAGCTGCTGATTCTATCAAGTTTACTGTAAATGTAGAGTCTTTAATCAGCTCTACTGATAAAGGAAACTCAGCTATTCTTCAGGTGCTTTCTAAAAATAATGAAGTGAAGAAAACCAAGAAAAAGATTAGAGTCAAGAAGAAGAAAGGTACCAAGGAAGCTGAAGAGTCAGCTCCTGTCTTCTGTCCAAGAAGAAAGAAGGGAGACGATGGACCTTGCATGTCCTGCAGTGGATAGCCCCATCATTAATGGTAAAAGTTCAAAAATAATCATTTCTCGCGGGGTTTTGGGGTTTTGGGGTTTTGGGGTTTTGGGG